GGCTACCAAAAGATATAGTGTCTAGGGTCTTAAAGGCTTGAAGGTAAACAAGCAACCATCTTCTGTCTTCTTAAAGAAGCCCTGGTGGCATAGTGGTTACCTGTTGGGTTGAGATCTGTAAAGTCAACAATTTGGAACCACCAGCTTCTCCATGGGAGAAAGATAGGCCTTTCTACTCCTATTAAGAGTTACAGTCTCAGGAACTCACATGGGCCACAATTCTACCCTGTCTTACGTGGCCACTATGAGTCAGAATTGACTCGATGGCCGTGAGTTTTGAGTTCATGTCTTTTTAACTGGAAGGTCCCGGGTGGTTCAAACAGTGAAGTGCCTGTCTGCTAATCAAGAGATTGGAGGTTTGAGTCCACCTTGAGGTGCCTTGGAAGAAAGGCCTGGTGATCTGCTTCCAAAAAAAGAAAAAGAACCCTAGCCATTGCAAACCCTATGGGACACAGTTCTGCACTGGCATGTCTGGGGTCCCCATCAAGCTTCACATACAGACATAGGGGGAGACTTGGCTCTCCACCTGGCCAAGGTCACGTCCAAGGTTGACACAGCCTTCCAGGACTTTGTGGTTCCCTTGGGGAAAGAAAGCCTCCCACGTGAAAAGAAGATGGAGCAGCAAGTTGGTGTTGGGGCCCTTTGGGGGGTGAACCTTGAGCATCACTCTCAGGGTGGATTTGGAAATGTGAAGGTGTCACCCCACTATCTCCTGGCCACTGCAGAGAGCGTAGTTTTGGGAATCCCTACCATGATGTGGTTCTTGCCTGGTGTGTGTCTGGACCCCATGTCACCTAGAGCAGCATCACCTCCTCAGCACTGGCCTCTCTGACCACCTGGCCCCAAAGGGTCCCCACCCCACCCCATGGCTAACGCCTGACCCTGCCACAGCTCCTACTCAGTGCACCGGCTATGTGTCTGCTTGGACTCCTTCCTGACGTGCCAAGTCTCCTTTGCTGCGGGGCCTCCTCCAGACTGGGCAGCACTGGCACAGAGCTATACTTGGTATGCCCCCTCACTGCCATCGAGTTGATGCCGACTCATAGCGACCCCATAGGCCAGGGTAGAACCGGCCCCCGTGGGTTTCCGAGACTGTAACTCTTTACTGGAGTAGAAAGCCTCATCTTTCTTCCACAGAGCGGCTGGTGGTCTCAAACTGCTGACACTCATAACCACGATGCCACCAGAGCTAGGGGGGTTTATTGACTAAAGGCATGAATGAGCCACTTTCTCTCCTTAGCTCGTCTTGCCAGGGGAAGAAGACACAGACTACCTCGAGCTCCTCTTGTTTACAGGATAGGAACACAGCCTATCAAGGTCATTTGCTTTCATTCCCATCCGTCCCCAGTCCTCCATTTCCCCATCTGTTAAAGGAGTCCTCTTCCCTCCCAGGACCGTGGTGACCACAAGTACAGGAGCCTCTTAGGGAAAACTCCTGCCCAACCTAGAGTCCCCCTCCGTGCCCATCACCCTGCTCCACGGAACCGATGTTGGTGCCCACCCCCACCCCACCCCCTCTCCTCCACCGTACATTTCTGGATCTCCACGACCTCGCTGGGATACAGCTCCACCTCCAGACGCCCGTCGGCCTGGTTCTTGTCCAGCCAGCGGTTGACAGGGAAGGTGTACTGCTTGCCTTGTCGGGGCACACGGATCTGGACGCTGCCCAGGAACCAGCTGGCGTGCATGCCAGTGCTGTCATGCCCAATCACCAGCCGGTTGATCTAGAAGGAAACACAGGGAGGGGTGTGCAAGAAGCCAGTGTGCTCAGAAACACACACACACACACACACACACCTCCACACGCCAGATCTCTATCCCTGTACCTCCATGCCAGGCCGATATCTCTACACCCCCATGCCAGATTTCGACCCTACACCCCCATGTGCTGGAGAGGACATTGGGCTTGGTGAAGAAGAGGGGCAGCAAACACAAAGAGGAAGGCCTTTGACGAGATGGGACGACACAGTGGCTGCAACAAGGGGCTTCAACAGGAGCACCCTTGTGAGGATGGCGCGGGACAGGGCAATGTCCCATTGCAGTGTGCACGGGGCCCTCAAGGGGGTCAGAGCTGATTCGATGGCACCTAACAACAGCCACAACAACACCCAGGACTGGGCGCCCTTGAGTCTGTATTCTGAAATCAGGTCACCAAGAGTGAGAGCCAATTCCCCCACAACTGAGGCCACCCCCGGTGTTTATTGACTTTGGAAGATTCACCACGGGTCAGCTGCCTTCACCTGCTCCGGGGTCACATGTAGAAAACAACGAACCTTGTAGAAACCCCCCAAAGGGTCACCCTGTCCTTCCCGATGGCCCCCACGGGTGGGCGTGAGTGTGTCCGTGTGATGTGCGCGGGACAAGATGCTGGAGGGAGACTCACCGTTCCGATGTTCAGGGTCTCGAGGGTGAACTCGTCCACGCGGCCCCGCTCGAAGTAGTCCTTTAGGTTGTTGTCAGAGACGAGCAGAACTTGCTTGATGGTGTCTGACCTATCGCCGTAGAGCTTGAGGTACACTCTGGAGTCTGTGCTGGCTCCAGACACGTCGCCAGTCTTCACGCTGATGTGATAGCGGTAGTCTGTGCAGCCCAAGGCCGGGGGGGAGGAGGAAGGGGGTTAGCACAGAGCACACAGGGGGCACAGGGGGCATGGAGCAGGATGACTGGATCCGGAGAGTGAGGTGGCAGGCTCTCTCTGCGTTACCTCCATTTCCTGGCCCATGCGACAGGGATGCGAAAACCTGCCTGGGCCTCACCCACAAGGTGTGGATGCTCTGGGAACAGGAGAGCATGCACATGCAGACAAGCTCGAAAGGATCTAAAGCAATCACTCGGCCCCCTTCAGTGTTGATGGAGCAGCAAACTAAGACCTTGGACTTTCGCCAGCACCGTTGAGCGACAGAGTCCTAGCCCAGCTTCGCAGAAAAGGAGTCCCAAGCGCCGTAGGTTACGTGTTATGTGTTTGGGGTCATGTGGCTCCGTGGAGCTGTAGCCAACCAGAAGTGAACTCCAGACAGTGGCTTAGAGCCCTCTGCTCTTAAAGGGGACACCGTGCTGGCGCTGCACCGTTTATCACTTATTTCTTAATCATTTTATTGGGGGCTCTGACGGCTCTTATAATATTCCATACATCCGTTGTATCGAGCGTATTTGTACATTTGTTGCCATCCTCATTTCCAAGACCTTTTCTACTTGGGCTCTTGGGATAACGGTGCGCCATTTCACCACACTCCGTCGTCGGCCCTCTCCGTGTGCGAGGGAGGAGAAAAGGCCCCGGGATGGCTGAGTCTGGGACAATAGAGGCCAAGACCCAAATCCTTCAGGCTTGCTCCAGGGCGTGTGTCCTGGGGAAGCAGAGCGAGCACCCAGGAGAGCACTGGTGCTAAGCCTCAGGCCCACCATGCGCTGCGGGCTGAGGGGGTTCTGACTGGGAAGAAAGATTTGGAGAAGGTAACAGGCCAGGGACAGCCCTCAAGACTGGCCAGGCCAGAGCAGCTCCCCCAGGGACGCCCGAGGGGACTGTGGGAAAGGACTATCAATGGTGCCGCAGGGACCAAGAGGAGAGGCCCTTCCCCCTGCCCTTTCCCATCTAAATGCTGTCCCCGGTCCTGGCTTGGGGAGTGGGTGGCCTGGGGACAGAGGGCTGGTGCAGTGAGACCAGCAGTGGACTAAGACAGAGACTGAGACCGCCTGGACGCAGGTCTTCATGTGAGCACTGACTGCGCACCTGGCCATGCTAGACGGGGGCCCCCCTGCCAAGGCCACAGGCCACCTTGGGCTGGCCCATCCCCTAATGTCCTTCCCAGCCTGGAGTCAGGCCGCTCCAGTCTCCACTCTGCCCTTGGCTGTGCGGTCCCCCCGGGAAGCACGTTAGCGGCTCTAGATTTTGATTTCCCAGCGTGACAAGTGGACACACAACAGCAGGCCCGATGGGATGAGGAGCGAGAGGCACGAGGTGCTGATGCTGTTGCGTGACCTAGAAGTCCGCGTCTACAGTGCTGCACAAGGTGTGTGATCCATCCGACCAGTTGAAGACATAGCGCCAGCAAGGAAAAGCGTATGATTTTATTCCTGGCACTAAAAAGGGGTCCTCACTTCACAGTCCGGAAGGGTAGGTAACCACAGCCCGCGGCACTGTGCGCTAGGGGTGGGGTTCCTGCCTAAGCTTTGCAATAGAGGCCCACGCGAGTGCCAGGCCCCAGACCAGCAGGCCCCACCCAGAGCCTTCCTTCCCACCCGCCCGGGCCTGTCTTGTGAAAAGAGGTGGGGGGGGGGGGGGCGCGCCTGCTTTCCCACAGGCTGGCATCCGTTCCCCCAGGGAGGGTGCCTGCCTTGCAGGGTGGCACCTGCCACCTGGACAACTTACTCTTCAGAGTCGCATTGCTGTCGCTGGGCAGCAACTCTCGGACCAACTGCCCATCGTCCTTGTCCTTGTCCAGCCACCTGGTGAACAGAGAAGGGGATGCAGACAGACATGACACAAGCACACATGGCATGCAGACTCCATGCTTCTACTTCAGGGGGAAGGGGAGGCGTGTTCTACAAGAACTTACAGCAAAAGAGACCAGCCCAGACTGGAGGCAGGGCTCCCCACCCCCACCCACCCCCCAGGAGGTGACGTTTGCACTGAGATTGGGAGGGTGACTAGAGGTTCACAGAAGAGGGGAGGATCGTGTCAGAGGGACGTCACAAGCTGAGATGGTACAGAGGCTGGGGAATTGCCCGGAGACCTGGGTAGATGGATTTCAACTAGTAAAGGGTAGACGAAGGGCAAGGTAAAGAGGGAGGGGGGAGGAGGAGGGATAGAGCTGAGGGAGAGTGGAGGGTGGGGTGGTCAGGGCGAGGCTGGACAGTGAGGGGTAGAGGAGAGTGGGTAGCAGGGTTGGGAGGAGTACAAGGAAGGCAGCACGGAGGGAGCGGGGCGGAGCAGGGAAGGCTGAGGATGCTGAACGGTGAGGCTAGTGGACAGGTGGGCAGGGTCATGTGACAAAGAGCCTTGGAAATCACAATTATAAAAAAAGACCTAAAAGCCGTGCACATCTACTTCATCGCCATCTTCGAACACACCCCTGAAAGTGTGGCCTTTTGGCATCTGCCAGCCTGAAACTGAACTTGGGCCCAGCGACGAACTTTCAGCCAAACAACAGGCTAGGACATGAACAAGACCACCAGGGAGACACATGCCCCTCACCACAGCTGAGGGCAAAGGTGCCTGATTGCCCCAAACAAAGCTCAGAGAGGCAGGAAAGGAAGGCGAGTGGAAACAGGGACGCCAGGGAGAGCAGGGGGAGGTGTGGGGCCGTGTGTCTCAAGGGTTGAGCGGGAAACGAATGAGCCCAAACGACAACTAAAACTCCACCACCAAGCCCCCAAGAGCCTTTATCCCCTGGGAGACTGCCCTGTGCTGGGCAGTGGGCCAGGCTGGGACGAGCACAGACAGAGGACGCAGGAATCGAAATCACACACAGCCCGGCCTTAAAGAGTGATGAGCTAAGGAGAGGGCGAGGTCAAGGGCAAAGGTGGATGCTGCATCCAAGGTAGTGCTGCAGGCCTTCAAAGGAAGGAGACGGAGTCGGGAAGGGGCCTTGGTCAGACCCTCAAGGATGAACGAGGTTTGTCTTCAAAGAGAAGGAGGTCCATGCCATGATATGCCACTTACATGGGCACGAGCCACGCTCTCCGCTCTCTGCTGGTCACCCACCAAGGGGGAAAGTACTGGGCCAACCCGCCTGAGACGAAGCGCCTTTCCCGCCAGGCAGGGAGCCCCTCTGTAAGAAGTGCACCAGCGCAGCCAGCACAGTGTGATGTGGAATAAACCCCTCCAGGCTCACGGAAATCCAAGGCCACTGCTCTTGATCCCTTTGCGTCTCCTCCTGCTGATGGCCCCAGACCACTCTATCCTACTGCAGAGCCCAAAGGAGACCACCCAAGGAGGCCAAGGATTCCTCTTCCTCCTCAGGACCCGGAGCCAGGGCCTCACTCAGCCCAGTCCCCTTTGCCAGTACACAACCTCTGAAGAGCCAGGGAGCCAACCCTGCCATCCCCCCATCCCGTCCCTCCTCCCCAGATACACCATCATGCACTCCCATGGGGCCTTGCTGTCAGCTGGTGCTGTACCAACAGGAGCATGTTAACCGACAGCTAAGTTGTTACAGGTCCCGTGGGCCTTGATGCTGTGAATCTAGAATGTTTGCCGCTAGGAAGGAAGATATGACAGTGGGATTCTAGGCCCTGGTGGCAGGGGGGTAGAGAGATGGTTGGAAGCAGAGAACTGGCCAGGAGCCCTCAAAGCAACCCGGGAGGAGCCCCCATCTTCCTGCTGGGGTCACCCTGGCTGCTCCCCCAGACCAGGAGACTGCAGAGAAAGCTGCGGTGTGGGAGGGCAAGGGGGAAAGGCAGCAGGTTCCTGTCCACAGAGAGCCCCTGCTTCCTCCCAAATCTCCCCACCACTTACTCATCCCCAGCCCCTCGCAGCAGTCAAAGGAAACTATGGCTTGGCATTTGTCCCCACCTAAATACTCAGGGGTATTAATAGATATGTCCAAAGATAGCCTTTCAGCTGCAAACACTTCAGCCCATGTCAGAGTGAGGTTTCGCTAAATGGATGAGCCAGTCTGCTGGTGATTTTTCAACTCTTTCCCTGAGGTCTCAGAAGCACATGCACGCACACACACACATGTATACATCATACGTGCCACAGCAAACACACACCATACAGATCACACGCAGCGTGTATACACATGCCACATATCATACATACCACTCGCACATACACACACATGTACACAGACCACACGGTCACACTCATACATGCATACACCACAACCACATAGGCCACCCACGCACACACCCACACATTGACTGTAGCTAAGACACTCCCTGATCCCGGGTGCACAGACTAGGATAGTCTGTCTTCCTCTCCCAGGGAATTAGAATAGCAGTTCAGAGGGTGGGGTGTAGCCTGGGGTCTCAGCACCAGACAGGACGACCCCTTTCTTTCACCAACGACACCTCGAAGCCACTATTTTGCTTTCTGACCCTGGTCTCGTGGCTGTTGCCGCTGTTAACTGCCACCAAGTCCCTTGGGGGCCCTGGCGAACCTGTGTGTCCCGAGCAGAGCTGAGCTTCCCCGTTGGTTCCAGGCTGCCATCTTGCTAAAGCAGACCACCAAGGCACCTCTGGGGGCTTCTGCCCCCCAACCTTCCGGGGGATATCCGAGCCTAGGCTGGAGAACAAGCGCACAGGGAGAGTGTACCTGAGGCACGGGAACTCCATGTTGTCGCTCTCCGGCTGGCCCTCCTCTCGCACCAGCACCCGCTCCAGGTACCAGCCGCTGCCCGCACCTTTGCCGTCGTGCCGGATCCTCACCCGCCTCACCTTCCGCAGGGTGACGGCCTCGATGGTGAACTCGTCGGCCTGCAGAGGGAGAAAGACAGCCAGGCCGGGTGGATGGTGCCAGCCCTGAGATCCGGGCCCCTCAAAGGAAGATCTAGGCTCAGGAGCCAGAAAGGCCGGAGCTGACGGGCTGGGCCAGCGGCCTTTCACAGATGTGCAAGAGTGGAGGGACACTGTGAGGGGCAGCCGCCACCCGTTTCCACCACTGGAGCACCGCGCTGCCGTGAGTCCCCAGCGTTTGAGAGCTTGTCGTTTAAACCATGGCCTTTATCTAGGATTTGCTTGGCAAAGGCACCTGCCCCCGGGAGGATGAATATATTAAGCTATTGTAAGCCACTAGCCATTGAGCCTGAACTACCTCCTTAGCTAGCCCCCGCTGGCTCCTGGCTCCAGAAAGACACTGGCCCCTTCTAGAGAGGGGGGATAATTAGAATTGACTGCGGGCACCTTGTGGTCTTGCTTAGGTCACAGTTTTGCCTGCTGATGGGTTTCCAGGTGCTCACGGGATACCTGGGACCTCCAGCACCAGGATCGTGGAGGGGCAGCTAGAATGGGCAAAGGAGCTCTAAGAGGTGGATGGGAAAGCACAGAAAAGTTGGAGAGGAAGATAGGTGGGTGCAAAGAGAGAGAAAGATAACGGTCATGTGAATAACTCCAAGAGACCTGAGTCCACCCATAACCTTCTGTTTAAATTCCTTTGGCCACCACAGCCTTGCCAGCCCCTTGTCCTTGAGAACAGGGTCAGGTTGGCTTGGCCCTAGGAGAGACGTCTCCACTCCCTTCCCAGGACTGCCTCATCTTCCTGGGTGAAGGATGACAGAGGAAGGAGATGGAGTCAGAGTAGTGCTCAGATGATGACCACCTGCAAATCCCTACACCTGGTTAAGCCCTCTGCACTTCCCACTGTTGGCCACAGGCACCTGCTGTGTGCTGCGGCCCTGCACATCTGCCACTGGCTGTTCTTGCAACACCAGTGGAACAAACCTTGTTCTACTTCACACCCAGGAAACTGGGTTCACCTTCACACCCGTCTGGCACCTTCCTCTCTGCTCCCCACAGGAGTGTGAGCCCATTTCATGGTCAAGGAACCCACCAACCAAACAAACAAACAAAACACAGCGTGTCCATAGAGAGGCGAGGAGCCAAACCCAGCCCTCCTGTGTGCACATTTCATGTACTACCGTTCTGGTTTCTCACTCAAAAAAAGTCAAGCTCTGTCCAACGGTCATCAAACCAAAAGACCAAACCAAGGCCATCAAGTCGATTCCAACGCACAGAGACCCTCTCGGGCAGCGTAGAACTGCCCCTGTGCATGTCTGAGCCTGTCATTCTTTACAAGCATCGAAAGCCTCGTTCTGTCTCCTGAGAAGCAGCTGGTGGATTTGAACTACTGACCATTCAGTTAGCAGCCCAACTTGTAACCCACTATGTCACCAGGGCTCCTCCAATGATCACAGCTGGTTAAAATAAAAATGAGCACGCCGTGCATTGGCCCCCTGGTGCGCCAGCTCTCCTCCAGCCTGGGTCCTGTCTACACCCCGGATGTGTTTCCTTGTCTACCCACCCCGAGACAAGAAGGGTGCTGCTCCTGCCTCCCCCAGGGCCTCTTCTCAAAACACCAGGGAACGGAAGGGGACGTGGCCTTTCTAGAGGGCGTTCCTACTCCTACTGGGTTATCCTAGGACTTTGTGAGGGTTTGCCTCTGGGAGTGGGGTGGCAGTGAGCCAAATGCCATGGGACCAAGACATCCAGACCCTGCTATGCCCTCTGTGGCTCCCTACTTCCCTTCCCAGAATAAGTTTCTCTGAAGCTTGAGACAGCTGGACTGGCTCAGCTCCCTCCTCGAACACAGCAGGGAAGATAAGGGAAGGAGGGGTGTGAGCATCAGGGCCACTTACTTACATTGCCCTTCTCAAACAAGTCGACGTTGTTCCTGCAGTTGAACATCAGCCGCTCCCCTGTGTCCCCCACGTCACCATAAAGGCAGAGGTAGACATTGGCATCGGTCCCCGCTCCTTCAAGTTCCCCTGTGCACACAGTCACACGGTATCGGGCCACTGCCAGGCAGAGAGAGAGAGAGGCCACTGGTGGACAGCATCCTACCCTGCTCTCCACTGCAAACCCTGCTCTTCCCCACCTCTGAGCCTTGCCTCCTCCTCTTGCTCCTTCCCACACTGATGAGCCCAATCCCTCCCACCCCAGCCAAGGACCAGCTCATCCGAATTCCTCTTGGCCTAGACCAGAGGTTCCCAGAGGTGGACAGCCACTGGGATGTCCTGGGGGAAAGTGTAGAAGAATTCAGACTTCCCAAGTTGGACTTGTAGTGCTGGGGAGGAATACTGAAAGGAGCAGGGACCGCGACAGGAGCCATCCAATTGTCCTGGAAGAAATGCAGCCAGCACACTCCTGAGAGGCAAGGATGGCGAGACTTCATCTCACATGCTTTGGACATGTTATCAGGAGAGACGGGTCCCTGGACAAGGACATCCTGCTTGGTAAAGTAGAGGGGCAGCAAAAAGCCAGGAAGGGCTTCGACGAGGTGGATTGACATGGGGGCTGCAACAATGAGCTCAGGCACAGGAACAATTGCCAGGGTGGCCCAGGACCGGGCAGTGTTTCCTTCTGTTGTGCTTCGAGTGGCTATGGGCTGGAGCTGACCTGCAGGCACCTGATAGCAACAGAGCTGGACTCCCCTAAGGGGAAACCCCCCAAACTGCATTTCGGACACGCTCCTCTGAGTGAACTCAGACCTTTGGGGTCTACTGGTCAAATCCAAACACTTTGGCCCTGGATCACATCCAACCCAAGACACTCCTTTGCCTTGATGGTTCTCCGGTTCTGTCTTGCCAGGTGAGGTAACGTGTTCTGCGTGAACTAGAGCTGACTCTTCCCCTTCTCGTTAGAATCCTCAGTGCTGGGACTTCCCGGGAAGAGAGGACCGCACGGGGCATAGCCACTCTGGGCAGGGAAGAGGCTTCCACCAGAGAGCTGATACTCGTAGGCTCCCCGGCCCTGCTTCTCACTTCAAATCAGCTGGAAAGCCAAGTTCATTCCCTCCTCCTCTGACGCACCGCTAGCTACCTCCTGAAACCGAGCCAGGGCCAGGCACTGCTGGAGGAGCAGGGATGGGGCAGGGTATGGATGGGACAGCCATGGCGCCTGCTCCCACAGAGCTGACACCAGAGATGGGTGGGGAGACTGGGGGAAGGGGCGGACAGAAAAGGCATTCAGAAATCAACCACAGGAAAAATCCCCGAGTTTGGTCCATTGTTAGCGACTGTAAGGCGCTATCAGGTTGGTTCCGACGCACAACAGAAAATGCCACCTGGGCCTGGTCACCCTCACTCCTGGTGCTGTGTTTGAGCCCAGTTTGGAAGACACTGCATCAACATCCATCTCGCCAAGGGTCTTCCTCTTTTCCGCTGCCCTTCGATCCACTCGATCAGCAGTTCAAAACCCCCAGCAGCTCCACAGGAGAACGGCTGGGCTTTCTACTTCCATACACAGCTAACAGTCCCAGAAACCCTATGGGTCTCGCTGTGAGTCAGCATTGACCGAGGGCAGTGAATTTGCTTGTTTGTTTGTGTGCAAAGTTAACTCTACCTCTTTCTCTCTCAGAGAAGCAAGTGTTTTCGAACTGCCGACCTTGCGAATCATAGCCCAGCTCTTTTTTTTTTAATGTTTAAAAAAACATTTTATTGAGAGCTCTTACAGCTCTTGTAACAATCCATACATCATCAATCGTGTCAAGCACATTTGAACATATGATGCATCATTGTTTTCTAGACATTTATTTTCTATTGAGCCCTCACGCCACCCCCAGCCTGATGGCCCCTTGATAAATGATGATTATTTTCATATCTTACACCGACTGCTGTCTCCTTCCCCCATGGTTTCTGTTGTTCATCCCCCTGAGGGGGGTGTGGTTATGTGTCCATCATTGTGATCCGTTCCCTCTTCCTTCCCTCCTCTCCCCACCTTACCCCTGCCCTCCTGGTATTGCT